TATATATATATATATATATATATATACTATATATATATACTATATACTATATATATATACTATATACTATATATATACTATATACTATATATACTATATACTATATATATATATATATATATATATATATATATATATATATATATATATATATATATATATATATATATATATATATATATATATATATATGCCATTTCGTACCTGCTGAAAAAGGTTTTCAATCCATTATTATGGTCGAAAATTAATTTCTGGTTCCAAAATGGATTCAAAGAATACAAGAAAACCAGCAACAGGCAATACATTAGAACATCTCTACAAAAAAGTAATGATCGATCGAGGGCTTTTTAAACGTAGAATTTTTATGATCTGATGATCAAAGTTAGATACAATACAGCCTATATACGACAAATTTAAAGTTAGTTACACATTGAGCCTGTGGTTGGAATCAACACCAATTCGTGATCAGAATTATAACACAGAGATGTTTCAAATAACTGGGTTTTCAAAATTGCCAATTATTTGAGCGATTAAGGCATTTTAATGCCTTAAAAATAAAAAAAATATAAAAGTACTTAAAAAAAAACTTAATGAAAAAAATACTTAATGCCCGTAAAAATACTTAATGCCCGTTCAAACGAGTCCAGCATCATCCATCACTGCTGGACCAACAATGTTGGACGATGTTGAACAATGTTGGAGGAGCGTGGCCAATTAATGATCAGGCGTAATCGTTAAATGCCAATGACCATGCGTTGTTGCACAATGGTTGGATGAAAATGTTAAACGAAGTCAAACCATAGTCTATCAACATCTGATATGATGATCTGGAAACTAAATAGAAGTGTTTGTTAATATATGTTTTTGTCTGAGTTTATGTTAATTTGTTTTTTCGTATTTTCGTATAATTAAGTAACCGTCCAATAGGGATGGCTGAGAAGAAACGTAAAGCCACGATGAATAATATTTAATGAGTGGACGACGATATTATTGAACGATTTGTGCACGGTGAGGGTACATGCAGTAATTGCAGTTCAACATCAAACAAAGGTCTTCTATTTTGTAGCTTTGAAGTTTGCCCAGCTTTCAGATCATCATATCTTACTGTCGTTCCAATTGAAGTGTTGCTCAAATATTGATTCAATACATTACCTCGGGCTGACCCAGCCTACTCCCAGGCTCTCTCCCTATTCGCTGCTTTGATATATTGAAATAAGTCTTAAAAGTTTTATGCCTGGGTGTGCTGTGCGGAACGCTTCAGCGAGAGAGCCTAGCAGATTTCGGTAAAATGGTCCCTGATTTCAAAAAAGTGGGCCCTGGCCTGGTTACCAAGCATACCTCAATTGTAAATGGAAAATGTTATGGAAATTTCCTTTGCATATATAATGAGTCATTAGTTTTGCTCTAATGCTGTCGGAACAATGAAGTAGGCTACGTTTCGCTGCCATCCGGTCAGAATGGAATAACGGGCTAAATATGACTCGTGTTTACTAAAATTGAAAATTATGCCGAGTCTCCGACTAAGAATGTTTTGACAACACCGTCATGTCAAGTAGAAAGCGTAGTTGTGTATACTAGTATGGTCTAGTGTTGATCACAACTTGCGAGTACATAAATAACATCAACGATTGCTCAAACTCGGTATCGTAAATTTGTATATAATTTTTTTTAGTTTAGCACATTTTTAATACAGTTTGATTTGGTCATGTAGACATCGAACATGTACATGATGAACGAACATTGTCGTATTTATAATTAAAAGGTTACTTGTATATATAAATTTTTCGCCATATTAAAAATACTGAAATCTGCTAGGCTTTCTGAAGCACCTTGAGCGGTGACGTCACACCTAGGTCCCAGTCTTGTTGTACATCCACTTTTTTCTCGCGCTTGCTTCAGAACGACTGGGACTAGGCTGGGGCTGACCGATTCATTTCATCAAGTTCCTCGAGATATTCACACACTTCCTAGTATAATTGTAAACTTCCTGTTGAATAGTTTGAATGCTCCAATCACATTTGTTGTTTGTGCAACTAACCAATCATAAATAGAAAGGAAGTGACCAGAAATGATCAAATACTTGGAATTGGCTCTTTCACAGGAAGTGTATGAATATCTCGAGGAACTTGATCAAATGAATTGGTCAGCCCGAGGTAATGTATTGAATCAATATTGGAGCAACACTTCAATTGGAACGACAGTAATAGACTATGGTCAAACTTGCATGATCCGGCAAATAGTTTAGGGCCAACATGCATGTTAGCCTCTTTTGAACGGCCGGCTTTAACGTAAAATGACAAGTTATAAAATGATTTTGCTCTCACTGTAAAAAATGACTTATATTATATATAGTAGTAAAACGGTGATTTACCTTAAAAATATTACTGTTGTTTTTCGCTTCTGCACCTTACATCTTGTCCTGGTAACAACTTTTCTTGAAAGTGGTTGCAAATATTTGAGGCAAAACAACTTTCGATAAAGAGGCTGCGAGTAAAAAACCGGAGACCACTGGTTAGCTCAGATATATTTTATATAGATGAGTATCCGTTTGTAAAGCGGGAAGGGACACTAACTCCAAAATACGATTTTTTGGTATATGCAACATATTTGGATTAGGAAGAAATGTACTATATTCTTCCCGGTAAGATGTCATTAGATGAATTTGTATAGCCGAGCAAAAAACAAACTTCATATCCTGCATGCAACTTCTACAGCAAAAATGTCGATGAAGATGGACTTGACACATATACTTTTAAACGTTTGTGGAGCATTAATGTTATATATTTGTTTAGTCATTGCTTCATAATAAGTTAACAGGTAAGACTTGAATTGTCCAACAGTAACGCTTGCTTCTCGAATATATGTGGTGGTAGGGAGTTATATATTCTGGGAGCTCTATTAAAAAAACTGTTCTGAAAGGTTTAAGTGTTAACTCTGTAAATTTTGAATGTTACACTGTTAGTTGTAGCGCGCCTGGTGATACGATCGTTTGATACTATAATATATACTAATCCGAGAGTCATTCAATTTAATTATACACCAACCCCAGGTACTCGTGCCAGTAAGACAGAGGAAGTAAACCTGTTTTTAGTAGCCTGTCCTGGTTACGCGATCGAAACCTTTGCATGAAACCCCCTGCTAGTAGACATGTTGCTATATATACGGGAACGTCTTTGGTCGCATTTAAAATTATTAAAAACTGGAAAAAACTTACATCTTCGAAATTCTTCTCCGTAAAAGAGGCAAACATCGAATCATCTAGAACCACATCATCTTCAATTTCCTGACCCAGTTCGTCGATTATTGGGGAATGAAACATAAAATGTCTGCGCATCGCTTGAATAACGGTGATAAATAGAGCCTGGAATATGAAGAATGCAGCGGTTTGGTTAATACAGCTATTGATGATACACTAGGCGGATATGTTAGTTTGAAAATAGTATATTATAAACCACAAGTATTTTTTAAAATTAGAAAATTTATTATTAGCTAACGCTTCGTTGTTTACATGAATACTTTCAGAGTTTTGAAGTGATTCTTAATCTTACATGGTATGCTATCAATATATTCTCGTCAATTTGACCATAAATTGTCATGTTTTCCTCTATTTAAACTGAGAATTCCCTGAGAATTCCCAATTTGACTTAATTTTGTTGTTATAAAAATACTATTTGCATGCACACATTTATTTTCGATTAAAAAAATTGTTAAAATTGTTTTATCCATACATGCATGAGTTATACTGTAGACCAATCAATGCTCGGGTACTAGCTATATAAATGTTATATTATATAATAGATGGTTAGTAATGAATAAATATTATAACTATCTTAATTACAAGATTATTAGATTATTATTATTAATGATTATTATTATAATCAAGATTATTATTAAGTTTATTTATTTCAAACATATTTGAGAGACCCTATATATAGTCTCTTACCTGAAGTGGCTGAGATATGAACACTGAAATGAATAATGACCAAAATACAGATTGTTTGTAGCATCTTACGGTCACATCATCGAATCTGCATGATGAAAAGGAGCATAGATTAAGCAGCGTTTTCGGAAAGTTTTTTGTTCAAAATTCTCCCATGACAATATACAGTAACAATTTACGTACATTATTGGGCAGCACTAGGGTAGAGGTGCATGTGATGGGGGGGGGATACGCAGTTATATATAATAGCGCAAGGACTGGAGTAAGGACTTCAGTCATTCGGCCTATGAGAAAAGTGAAGCCAAGATGGCGGAAATAGACGTCCAATACATACGAAGGTCGTAAACAGTTTTAATACTAATAAATATAAATAATATAAAGTAATTCCAGTATTTTCTAACGGACCGTATCGCTTAATCAAGTTACCAGTTTATAAAACCATAGTATTAGTTTTTAAATCGAAGTAAAAGCACGAAATTTCGACACACTTCTTGCAGCTTCGTGTCTGATTGCGCAAACAAAAACAATAGAAAGGGACTGAAACTGACGTCCAATAGCTCCATACTTGGCTTCACTTTCTGGACTCGTACTTAAAACACACCTGTTTACGTATTGCACTGTATGCAGTGAAGAAAACAATAACGTCATAATACAACCAATCCACATCGCGATATTAAAACATGTCGGTCTTGAAAAATGCAACGATGAATCAGATGAATCACTGGATAGGTCATGTTTAATGTTTGTGCCATTCTGGGATATATTGACAGGAGAATCACGAGGCACTTTGGTGTGAGTAATAGATATAATGGAATCTAAAAAAAAGAAACGGTTTAGAAAATATAATGACAGGTGTACGCAATACTCAGTTTTGCTCGTTGTCCTTGGCAATGCAGTATGAAGATTAACTTAATTATTGCAAAATGAGTCGAATCACTTGTGCTGAAAACGTGATAACTCCGTGGACAGAATGCTGAAACGCTATACCAGAGACCTTGGCCCTTGGGTTTGATTGTCAGCTGGAATATTTCAGCACGTGATTTCACTCCATTTGGCACAAGTTATGATTATACAACTCACTCCCTATCGGGGCTTTTCAGTGGCTATCAATCCTGTTTTCATCAATATTGCAACAATCTGATCGTGTTTAGCCGTGTAGCTTGTAACAATGTTGTTGAAAACAAGCTTGAACAATATTTTGCTGCTCATATTGTTCCTGGTTGTTAACAATATTGTTCAGTATTGTTCAGGTGAACAATGCTGAACAATATTGTTAACAATGAAAAATAGCAAAATATTGTTCAGGCCTGTTTTCAACAACATTGTTACAGGCTAGGCGTTTTTTCCTGTGTAAGCTTAGACTATTTATTTTTAGAACAATTGTGATATTACTTTCCTAAGTATGTTTATCCTAACCCACTCTGTCAACTTTCCCTGTGGGAGGAAACCGGAGCGCATGCACGACATCTCATTCTTCCATGCAAATCTTTGGAAGTGAAGTAATTATGATTCAGCCCTAAGATTAGGTGAAATATATTTCACCAGGTAATTAGTTTCACCATACGACCAAAATAGAGCAATATGGTTGGTTATTTTTTTTATGGTTGGTTATTTTTTTGTGGTTGGTTAATTTATTTTTACTAAACTAAAGAAACATTTATCTGCATAGGACACTCTACTGAACTGATAGGATGCGCTATAGAACATATTATACTACAGTGTATAATCTTTCATATATTCTCCGACAGACAATCCTTCCTGTTAAGGAGTGGCCGTGTTGGAAAATAAATAAATTAAGAACATTACACACCACACAGCACTACAGTACATGACAGTAAAAACTTTCCTAACCTTCATCAGATTCTTTAACAAGTAGAGCGGCAAGTTCCAGCTAAAAATAATTTATTTTATTAAGTCAATAATCATATATTCACAATGGATTCCGCTTAATAGAAGCTTGTGGAAAGTACTTTGCCTTAGCTATAGAGCCTCGTTTTCTTGATTAAGATATCGGCTTTAGAGTCCCCATTTTGTTACTGATGACTTATAATTATATAAACGTCACTACGTGATTTCGTAAATGTTCATGTCGTCACCTGTAAAGGCCGATTTACAACGTTTGCCTAAAACTGTTGCATCACTCATTGCATGCAACCTGCTTTCAACTTGAATTGTACAGTGTAAATCAAGCACATTATCGACATTAAACAATTCATTACCCCATGTCTAGTAATGTCTATATATACTGTAGCAGAGGTTGAAAAACACGTTAGTTACACAAGGATAATGTTCTACTTATTCATGTTGAGCATACAGACGTAAAAAATTCGTGTTTTATATATGCATTTGTCTGCCAAGAAGGAATTGTTCAGAAAGAAATATACTTGGTTGAAAAACAATATACCTGTTTGCGACGCCTAGTGTCTTCTGAAGTGCGGTCTATTTCAGATACAATCATATCACATTCCTCAGCGCTTGGCTCATGAGTATCTGAAAAATATCAAGTACAAAAAATAAAAACTAGCCATAATGTTAAATTTGCAAAATTTATACAATTTGTCCTATATATGATATAAGATTGTACAAATTTATACAATTTGTCCTATATTTATAGAATGCAATTTGTCCGATATTTGCAACTTTGGTGGGCAGTGATGCATTATGGGATGATATCTCGAATGGTTCCACTGCATGTATATAGGCAGCATTAATGATTCAAGCACGTTAGGTGAAAGAACAGCCCGAAAATAAGTAAAACACACACCAAATCATTGTGGGAGAATGGGTTCAGGGTGAAGTGAACCAATTATATCAATTATACTCTCAAACTCTGGTCAACCCAAAGACTCATTAAGCCTTATGTTTTCATCCCGCAGGGGTAGATATAAGACCTGCTAGGAGAGACTGAATGCCCTAGGGGTGATAATCCCCGATAGGACCCTGCCAGACTGGTAGCGACCCCTTCTGACATAGACCTGAACCAAGGGGTGATAATCCCATTGGACAGTACCTATACGATTCGACTGATTATATTTACTTAAAATACTCATTAAAAATTCATAAACGGATAAACCTTGTAGCAAATCATGTCAGCCATAACATGTCACGTGCAGTGACTTTATATCTGATAAAAGTCATCTTCATTAGTATTCTTTATATAATTGTTCATCCCAATTAGTATGATTATATAATTGTTCATCCTAATTAGTATTCTTTTGTTGTCGTATTTTAAGCTATTCAAAACACTCGAACTCGCGTTTTATCATATCTAAGTCTATGAGCCTGAAGTTGACCATTGGGAACACTTCAACCCCGAACCAAAATTTATTTGTTTCAACATAAACCAATTTAAGTATTTACATAGCGATATTAATTTTCATGAGAAAATTGTTCGATAATCTTTCTTTACAAATTGTTCTTGAATAGTCCTTGCATAACATTAGTTAGTACCCATACAATGCACGAGATACCAGGAACATTTCTCGGTAACAAGACATTGCTCTTTGTTGGGATATTTGTCAAAGTGAACTCCCTTATCACATTGACCTTTGTTCTGCGTGTTCGTTGTTGACATAAGATTGGTCAGTTGATCTTTCATTCGGTTTACAAGTGCCCACGAAAACATTTGAACTTTGGACTATTGGATATCGCCTTTTTGTGGCTGTTGACAAGCTTATCCTGTTACTATGAGATTATATTAATCAGTGTTGAATTAGGTGAAAAACTTGTTGTCCCATTAACTTGAATTTATATCTTGTTATATATAAATTTGCTTTAAACCTGCCTGAGTAGTTACAATCAACTACTTGAATTTGCATTATGGGATCATTACAGTAGTTATTTTATTTAATTATTTGGTACTTTGTTTGCAGTAACAATCCGATGACGCACCACTTTCCCCAGTCTTTTTCCAGGTGACTAGTTACAAATTGTGAATAAGATATCCTAATTTTAAAATACGTCCTGAAGGGGTAGGAATTGGAGTTGACTGGGAAATAGGATTCGCACCAGTTAGCTCCAGTCTTCGTGTTCGCTCTCTCGGCTGGAACAAACTGCTCAGGCTTGAAATATGGTCCAGTCCTCATTTTTGGATTTAAAATATTATTACTTCATGTACTCAAAATGGCGAGGAAAAAGAAAATTGCAGTTTTGCATCTCCTTATGGAGGAACCTATATACTAACTTCGGATTTTTAATTTTAGGTGTAGCTATATTAAACTTTGCATTTAACTTACTTGACTTTATTTCTGAATCTGTAGTACACGGTACAACTTTAGCATTCTTTGCCGGCTAGAACAGATGTAAATAAAAATAAATATACAATCTTAATGGGTCCCAGCTTGGAATGTGCGCAAAAATCTACAAACGAATAAGGGATGACGCTCTCTCAGGATTTCTAGGTAGACCTGTTCAAGGTATCCAATAAATACAGTACTTAGTTAGGTTTGAATTATGCTCGGAATACGGTTTTTAGACAATTAGCCTCTTCTTTTCTTTTACTGTTTACAAAAAATCAAAAACTTTTACCGACTATAATAGACCTTTTTAAAAAGTCTGCCTTGTGACGTAGTTTGCGGATAAATACGATCATTTGGCCAACCAGGCAAGCCAAATGGCTGTGCGGGGTTTTCCTTTATCCGCAAAACAACGTCACAAGACAGACTTTTTAAAAAGGTCTATTATCTCAGTAGCTCGCCATATTTATATTCAGTACATGTCAGCATATGCAATCTACGCATGCTCAGTATTTTACGCATGCCCACCTGGACTTGGCTTAGGCGGCAATTTCCGATCGTGCAATAGTAATAACACGAGTAATAGTAGGCAGAAAAAAGAGAGATACAGTATCTAGTATAAATAAGTTTAGTTTATTACCTGTAACCAGATAAATGATTTCGTGTATCGAAACATAACGGAGAAAAGAAGATAAATAGGAAGACAAGACAGGGTTGTGAAGACACCAACTTTGAACTGCAAGTAGGTCGGGTTGAACACGGACACACAATCCATTATCTATTACGAGTTATAAAACAAGTTAGATTGCTGTGAGTTCCTGCAGGAATACGGCGATATAAAATCAGTTTGTCTTTTTTGATGAAAGAACTTTTAAAATTATGTGGAAAACATTTTTTCAGCTGTTTCAAATCATGCTTGGGATTGGTTCTTGAAATACCCGACCTTAAATACTAGCATAAGTAATTAAGTAAGCTTAAAATAGCGAGTGTTATTCCTTTATACAAGGCAGAGAATAAACTATTTGTCAATAATTATAGACCTATTTCCATATTACCTGCTTTCTCAAAAATTTTGGAAAAAGTATCTTAGAAACGATTATCTAGCTATTTGAATACACAATATTTTATGTGTAAATCAATACGGTTTTAGAAAGGGTCACTCAACTTCATTAGCCCTTGTTGATTTATATGATAGAATCTCAGAAGCAATCGACAAAAAGGAATATGCTGTTGGAATTTTCCTGGACCTATCCAAAGCTTTTGACACGGTGGACCATGATATTCTTTTTGAGAAATTGGAATATTATGGTGTACGTGGCATAGCAATGAGCTGGATAAAAAGTTACTTTTCTGACCGAAAACAATATGTTCAGTTTAATAACTCATGCTCTGCCTTTAAATCTATAACCTGTGGAGTTCCAAAGGGATCCATTTTAGGGCCACTGATGTTTTTGATATATATCAACGACATATGTAATGTTTCTGATGTTGCAAAACTAATCCTTTTTACTGACGATACGAACTTGTTCTTTTCGCATATAAACCCAGTGCACTTGGTTAATGTGACAAACGGAGAGCTACAAAAATTTTCGATTTGGCTCAGAGCGAACAAATTGTCTTTAAATCTTGATAAAACAAAATTTATGATATTCAAACCTAGACAAAAAAATCAACCAACAAACTTTAAAATAGTACTTAATAACAGAGAACTCATTCAAACAAATGAAATTGTTTTCTTAGGTGTCATTCTAGATGAGCATCTCACTTGGAAATCTCACATTAATCATGTGTCAAATAAGATTTCCAATCGATAGGAATAATACGCAAATCTAGCTTTTTTTCTGTTAAAACAATCACTGTTAACTCTTTACTACTCGATGGTGTATCCCTATTTGCAATATTGCAATATAGTGTGGCCATCTATACGTATGCATCAATTAACTCGTTTGGTAATTCTTCAAAAATGTATTGTCAGAATTTTAAATAATAGTAGTTTCGATTCTCATACCAATTTGATCTTTAAAAATCTAAGATTACTAAAATTTCACGACCTCTGTAAATTACAAACTGGCCAATTTATGTTCTTGTACATGAACAATCTCTTACCAGACCATTTTGAAAACCTATTTCTTTTAAAACGGCAAGTACATAATTATAATACTAGGAGAGCTAATGAATTTTACATTGCAACTCCAAGATTCAAGAACAAATCTACGGCAATTTTCTGCAATTAAATATCAAGGTCCACTTCTTTATAACAATCTAAATAATAATATAATAAATAGTGTATCATATTCGTCATTTACCAAAAAAATGAAAAAGCATCCCTGCTCGTCTTATATTATAGTTAATTAATAAAACCAATTTTGTTCATATAATTATCATTGAGATAAATTCAACATAAGAGGAGGTTTGTTACACATAATTAGCCAAGTTGTTTCTCATCAAACCTCCTCGTCACATAAATACCTACTCTTGTAAACTGTTATTATTACCCTTTTGTAAATTAATACTTTTTTTGACCTCTGTAAATAATTATCTGTGATTGTGTGATTTGTGTGACAAATCTAATAAATTCAAAAATTCAGAATTCAATTCAATTCAATTAAAAAATTGTGTAGTTGTGGATATGCATGTTACAACGTTACGACCTACACTGATCATATATGGCATGGGTAAATTAGCCTTCTGCCATCTTGGCTTCACTTTCCTCATAGGCCGAATGACTTCTCGCTCCAGATAGACATCAGTCACGTCATTGGGCTAACCCAGCTTTGACGTCACCAAAACCACCATTTATGAGGTCAAAAACTAATCCAAGATGTCAAGATCGAAGAGTCAAAATATTTCAAGAATTAAGCAAGAAGAAAAATTCGGTGGGGTTAATAATATATAACTTTAAAAGTTCTTTCATGTGAGGCCTGCAGCGAATTTTTTTGTCATCAAATACTGCCATGCATATAGGTTTTAAAGTTATTTTGAAACTTAAACCACAGAGGTTAAACTAAGAAGCGAGTTTATGCTATACCAACAAGGGAAAAAATTTCTTCAAGCTAAAGGAAAATAACACAAAGTATACAAATATAATTTTGGGTTTGATTTCAAGTTTCTGTTCAGACCTATGGTTCAGACACATTAAATAGACCATCTTGAACATTATAAACGCCAGAACGTTTGGGCAGACGTAAAGTGCCGACGACGTTGATCTCGAATGTTTCAAATATGGAACATCCTCAATAAAGCCCTCGCACGCGGGGGAGGCTTATTCATTTCACGGGGAAGGGGTGTTATGTGAGAGGGCGGGCTTTGCCACAACGCAGTATAAGTAGGAAACGCAGCAAATTCATAGGGAGTAATATAGAGGATTAACTGGATGACTAAAGCGCATCTAAAATACTTACGACATATTCCGTATAATTGTGACAAAAATACGCATTGAAAAATAGATATGCAAACAACAATAATATACAGCATGTCAGACGCTATAGGAAAAACAAAGAATAAATAAAGGTCAGGAGCTACAATGCATGGATTTTCTCAGGATTAATATAGTTTGGTGCAAAGAAGATTATGCTGAAACTCCATGATTTTACCTTTTACCTATACAGTATCGTTATAGAACAGTTGAGTACACCTTGAGCCATTGGCGTAAGCAGTAAGATATATAGCTAAAAATCGTGATCTATTGCACCATGGTTCAGTGGAAAACTCTGGCTAGAGACTAAGAAAAAGTCAGGTTGGACATCGTACCTCAGCTCTTGTAAATAAACTATACGTCGGCATTCTTATAAGTGATAGCCATATATGAAAATCCATTAGTTTTTCCCCAAGTGCCAATTGAAACTCCTAAACATTGATAAAAAAATTAGTCATGCATGCATGGGTCCAGTCGTGCACACGGTATAAACTAGTACGGATGGTCGAGTATTTTTACATTTGTGATCAGGTCCGATTATTATTGCAATATGCAGTTGTCTGATTCAAATATCGCCGCCTTAGTCTCATTTGAAATATACAGTATGCTTCTAGTTTGATTATATAAAATACCTGAGGTTTTGGCCAGCTTCCTCCTGCAGTTGCAATTATGCAAATATAAGAAGGCTCTGGCTCGACGGAAACTTCCACTAGGCGGAATTTTGCGCGCAGAGCGGAATTTTTCTTTGTCTTGTGATTTCTCGGGTGGAACTAATTAGAGAAGACAAAGAAAAATTCCGCCTATAGTGGAAAACCGGCTCAAGAACTGTTAAGGACTTCTCCAATTAATGGAAACAGGTCAGACTTCAGAAATGATACAATTCTGTACTGCCTATATAGATAAGCTTAAGCCAAGGCTGGTTTACACTAACTTCTGTGGTTACACTGGGAATTTTGCACAGATAAATTCTAAGTTTTGAAGGATTTGTAAGAATTGTTTGATGGAACTGTTGAACACTGAATCGGTGGTTACCTCAAACATTTCTTACAAATCCTCCAAAATTTACCTATGCAAAATTCCTATATTGTGAGCAAATTTCGATAGTGTAAACAAGCCTTTAGTTTCGTTTCGTTTATGGTTGCCGGTGTATCAAGACCAATTGACCATGCATACAGTTTCGTGAATATGTATATCTTATCAATATAAGAAATACATGCATTATTTATTTATTGCAACAGTGACGAATCTTTAGCAGATTAAGATTGGCAAACCTTAAAGGTGAAGTTGCGCTTAAAATCAAACGGTTTTATCTTGCAGTCGAGCTATAAAAACGACAACATTGTTAAATGAAGTTAGGTACTCACAATTTAACGATTGAAATGACACTGTGTGAATACTGTACTGAGCCTAAAAATTGGTTCGAGTTTCATATGCCAGCGTAAATGTTGTATCAGGGTGTTAGCTACAGTAAAAAATTCCGCGTTAAACGCGGTTTTCCCAATTACCTTGAGGTCGCAATTTCCCAATTTGGGTCAGCCAAAAAATAGTTATAGAAATTCAATGTTGTTAATACGCCATTAAAAACATGTTTATAACTACATTTGCTCAAAATTACTCCCAAAATGCGGGAAATGCCATTTCAAAGACACAAAAATTTTAAAAATCGAGAGGGGGCGCAACCGCACGCCCCCAGACCCACAAAGAAATGCCCGGCTTCAGGCTAAAATAAATTTCCCAATTTCAGGTAAACGCGGATTTTTTTTTTACTTCTGGCTAACACCCTGTGTATAATAATAATCATTGTCATTTACTGGGAAAAAATTAAAAATACAATTATAAAAAATACAATTATCCGAACCGATTTCCTTTGTAAAGCCCATGCATTTCCCACTAGGCGAATTGGTTCGCGCAAACAGTGAAAAAGTAGGAACTGATCCAACTTTTTTGCGGCGAATTTTTTCGCTGACCAATCACATTGCCAAGATTTGTTTTTCGTTTCGCTCAAATTCGCCTTGTGGAAAATGGGCTTAGTAATCTAATGGTCTAAAAATCGATCTGCCAAGTTTGTGGAAACGAATATTCCTTCTGCTAGTCCCCATTCTCTCTTGGATGCGTGGTGAGATGATGGTCGTAAGTTAGAATCATTGGTTTGTAGTGGGCTAACTTATACGTTTAGGTCTTTATTGTGTGGGATAACGTGAATTTATGCATGCGTAATATTGTGTCTACTTTATAATATTTCGCTGTCTAGTTTCCGTGTCGGAGGAAATTAACAAACCTACCATTCCATCGTTTTTATCAACGGCCAACCATCTGGCACATCTGAATATCCTGTCATAAATACAGAACAAAATATTGAATCATAACTTATAACCGGACACACTAACACGAATGCAAACAGTTGAGCAAGCAGTTTAGCAAGCAGTTGAGCAAGCAGTTGAGCAAGCAGTTCATATACTAGTAACAGTTCAGAGGACATGCACAATATTCACCTCGTAATAAACACATGGATCTACCGTCATGCAATGACATCCCACGCACGCAAGATCTTGCGCCTTGATACATGCATGGTCTTGTGTTCATGGGGGAATGCTGCACGACCAGAAATTGCACGGACAAATGGCCATGTCGCTGAGCAATTATTCAATGGCATCCTAGGCTTAGGCAGGAATTTTCGTGCGCTTTTCGTTTTGCTTTACTTTGACATTGTAACACAACAAGGCTCAAATTGTAAGTTTAAGAATTATGCTTTAGTCACCTATAATATTGGATTTTTTGCTATAATTCTACCAATCAATCAAAAACGTGCCGACTATATCTTGAAATAATTTAGTAGCTTGCCTCCTAAACACATTAGACTAGGGTGACCCGCTTGCTAGGGTAACCCTCCTGATAGGGTCACCCTACCTCCATGTAAACAGGCCCTTAATTTAATATGCAGTACACGTCTGCAAGTACAATCTACGCAAGCTCAGTCAAGATGACCTATAGCAAATTAGATATCCATTTGTAGCCGCAATTTCTGATCGTGCGTTTTGACGGATGATCCTTTCCAAGTATAAATCTGGCGAATAGTTGTGATAGCTGTTTGTACCTATTCTCCATATACATACATCCAGTAATCCAAAAATGTCTATAGTATGAAAGTATTCTTACCACTTCCTGTTGGTATTTAAGTCTTTGATAACGAGTTTATCAACAAACCAAGATGGTGAGCTGCCACTGTTGTCATGCCAGAGATGAATAGAGTTTAACAATCCCAAATTCTCGCGCACACTGGAAAAGGTTTTACAAGCTAAAATTTTACCATTAACTTTAACTTTAACTTAGTTTAAACTTTCAGTAAAATATGTAAAGAAAAGCCAAAGCAAACAAGATTGAATGGACTGAATGAATGTTCACCAGGAGACAATGAATAACGATGTTCAGTGCCATTTTCATATGCAGAAGTGCCATTCTCTGTTGATAATTTCAGATAGATCTGATAACTTTGTTTTCTATTAAGTTTTGCTATTACTACAAATGCAAAGTCAAACAATAGAAAACAAAAAAGAACGAAATTATAATTAGTGTTTTAGGAAAGCTAGGGGACAGTGATTGAAGGGTTTAAGAACCATTTAGTTAGTAATATTTCAATTATTCAATTTCGGTAATAACTTGCTTTGTTTGAAGACAAATAATTACGAAAATTAGACAAACAAAAGCATATATATATATATATATATATATATATATATATATATATATATATATATATATATATATATATATATATATATATATATATATATATATATATATATATATATATATATATATATATATATATATATATATATATATATATATACATGAAACACAACAGAAGGAATTGCAATCTTAAAATCTTTATATGAACTCACCTGACAACAAAAACATCTCTTGAATTTCGTTGAAACAAGTCACGATTTTTGGTAAACAGCTCAACAGGATAAGATGAATTATTTTCGCCATATAGCACAACAGCAACCTAAACATACATGAAAATAGTTTCATATTTTTGTTCTTCTATACGTTTTACATGTCATATCAGAAAATAAGAGAGAAATCATTTCTAGAACTTATAATATTTTACATTTTTCGCGCATGCTTCCCGAAATAACGTGTCTGAGAAGATGGGAAAAGACCATCACAAAAACCAAGACTTTGCACCACTACAATGCACGTCAATGGTTTTTGATTGCTAAAATACCATGTTTTCTTGTATGTACTCACTAGATAGACCTTTTTAGCAGGATCCTTGTTTAAAAAATTCAATAACGGTTGAGCAATTTTGATTGTTCAAGATGGCGCCATATGGAGGAAAAGGTGGCATAATGAACGTGTCATATCTTCGAAACGAGTTCGGTGAACCCAACTTTTTTTCTGTTTTTACTATGAGCATATCATAAACTTCACCTCTGGGAAGTTTCAGCAAAATCTCATTCCCAGAAGAATTACTGATTAACAACGGAGTTACTCCCACGATGCGAAGCATTATGGTATTTATAAAAGGTGGGGATATAATCAAACTATAATTCTCTATTCCTCCTTTTCTCTTCAGCTTAATTCAAATTAGTTTCTATACATTAAACATTAAATGGAATAGAGTTTCTCATTACTATAATCATAATAAGGCCTGACCTTCGCGGTTGTTTCAGATCCACAACAATGACCAGTGTAAACTGTTATTTTATATCTAGGTTAAAAGATAATTATATTTATTGATTTATATTATATATATCAACGAAACATGTGGATGACTATATACACTGTATTTATCACTGTAAAGCATAAAGAGAATTCAAGAATTAAATGAAGGACAAACTAAGTATTGACATAAGATGACATGGGACAATTGAAATATTTCATCACTTATTATAATAGCAGATAAGATTTAAAACATGGCTGTACACAGCGGGGAGTGCAGCAGGGCAAGTGCTCCCCCCACCCCCGCACCGAGAAAATTTAACTAACTTTATAATGTGATTATGATTGTAGCAGATAATTATGCGGTCAGGAAATAAAAATTTCATGCAAACAATATTCAAAGTGTCTATACAGCCAGCTATTTAGTAAACTGTCACCTGTCAATTCAATCCATACCCATCAAATTTTCAAAACTTTATTGTAATCATATGAAGCAAAAGTTATGTCACTTGTTGTTTACACTTGCCAATGTTAACTGTTGAGTAACATACACAAAATATTTGGTGAACATGTCGAAGACCACTGAATAATTGAGAATGTTTTGAAGGTCATGAGTAAAGTATATAATTAAATTCCAGTTCTGTGCGCAGTTAGTGATATACCACACTGTTCGGTTTAACACGTACAGCACATTCACACAAAAACAATTGTGTTGTGGGAGATTATCGGTTTGAGTAGAAGGTATCACAAGTTTAGTTTATTTGTACATTGTGTGCCATTGATCAAATCCACCATATAATATATGATCATTCATTGTAGCTGTTAAGTTATTTTCCATACTAATGAATTTAGGTAAGATTGTCGACGTCTTGCAAGTTGGTTGTTCTGACAAAACTATCCAGCCAATATCCAGTACATTTATTCTTCATTCTTGTATTAATCTCTAAAGAAAAATATTTATGTTAGAAAGCAAAATGACAATGTAATGAGGCTCAGGAGGGTGAGGATTCTTTTATTTGAAAATGTTTGTAAAAAATTTGTTTAATTAACTCTAATGTGTAAAACCAAAATGTATATAAAGTATTTTAACTGATAACATCTTCAACCTTTGCTCTAACACTACATTTGATGACAGCTTTATAATGACTATTTATGATGACAGCTCTATAACACTACATTTGATGACAGCTTTTGAACAGAGTTACGGAGTCAATATACAGAAATACAGGACCAGGATTTAATTCAATATCTCCTGAGAACTGTCCAATAGGTTCCCTTGATATTGTTAATTGGCAATATTGCCTCAATTCGGTTAGTTAATATTTAAGAGAGCTATATATGAGACAGTAAAGCACACACAATGTTGTGGGAGAAGGGTTGTTGGGGAGAAATGCTCCGAATATATACTTTCAACTGGTCAAAGTGTCGCCCCACAGACTCACAGTTACTCTAATTAATGCCCTCGGGGGTCTGGGTCCCCATTTTGGGCTGTCCTCAGGGGGTCTGGGTCCCCATGTTGGACTCTAGTGTAATTAATGCCCTCAGGGGGTTTTGGTCCCCATGTTGGGCAATCCTTAGGGGGTTTGGGTCCCCATGTTGGACTCT